TTTTATTTTTTTATTTTTTTTTATTTTTTTTTTTTAAGGCAAATACCATGCACCCAATCAACGAATTGGGCATTGGATTGTTATTACTCATTATCCGATGTGAATGGAGAAACGACATGTCATATGCAGTGTGATGACATAATATATGTTGCCATTCACCGTCAATAAAGGGAAGTGTGTTGAGATAAATTTCTCATTAATTTTTTCAAATATTACAAATTGAGCAAGAGCACCATTTTATTTTTTTCAACCAAATGTGTATTTTCATTTCATTTTTTTTTTTCAATTTAACGCAACTGTTTTATTCACGTTAGATAACGAGTCAGACACGTAAATCTCTATTGAAACATAAACAAAAGATTGCATTGAAACATTGAACAGAGTTTTACAGAGAGATGAAAGATTCTCGAGAGAGGAAAGTTTAGAGAGAGAGAAAGAAGATGTGCGGGTAAAATTACAGAAATGAGAAAAGTGAGTTGGGCTTAACCCTAATGCTATATTTATACCTATACTATATCAGTAAATAAGATGAGATACAAGGGTAAATAAGTAAAAATACATATAAAAATATATAGCATCTAATACCCCCTCAAGATGAACATGAATATTTAACATGTTCATCTTGGAGAGGCACTTCTTGAAGGCTTGAGGATGCAATGCCTTGGTTAAAACATCAGCCACTTGTTCTTTTGTAGGAACATGCTGGAGAGTGATGATCCTTTTTGTAAGCTTCTCCCTTATCAAGTGGCAGTTATTTCGATATGCTTTGTTCTTTCATGGTAGACCGGGTTTTTAGCAATGCAATTGCTGACTTACTATCTGAAAAAAACAGAACAGGTCGAGAGTGAGAAATATGAAGATCATTTAACAACTATAGGAGCCATTGGGCTTCACATGATATTAGAACTGGGGGGAAGAGAGTGCGGTCCCACCAGATGAAGGCGCACCATAAGAGAGTGAGGCTAGATGCACCTTAGTGAGGTTCCATCCCAAAACCAATTGGTGATAGGATGAGTAGTCCACTAGGCATATATACTAGACTCATTTTCCCTATAGAATCAATGTGTGACACTCACAAATGATATTTCAACACGCCCCCTCACTTGTGAGTCCTTCGTAAGCCCAAGCCCACATAGCAGACCGGGTAGAGAGATAAGTCCAAGCCCAGAGCAGGCCTGGTAGAGAGAGTCATTGCAGGTCCTAAGACAGGCTCGCTTTGATACCATATTGAAACATACACAAAAGATTTTGTTAAACATTGAACGGAGTTTTACAGAGAGATGAAAGATTCTCGAGAGAGGAAAGTTTAGAGAGAGAGAGAAGATGTGCGGCGTAAAATTACAGAAATGAGAAAAGTGAGTTGGGCTTAACCCTAATGCTATATTTATACCTATACTATATCAGTAAATAAGATGAGATACAAGGGCAAATAAGTAAAAATACATATAAAAATATATAGCATCTAATAATCTCTAACAATTTGTTATTTGATTATGTTGATACACAATTTAGCCTCGATTAATAAAAATGCTAAACGTGGATATGTATTAAATAAATATAAATATAGCAGGTTATCTGAGCTAATTATTTAATATCGACCGAGTCCCCAAGTGTCCAGATCGTCCACGTTCGAGCCGAACAGAATTAAATATCGACAGCTCTACCCGAATATCGAGAAGATCCATATCCGGTAGACACAATAATTGTCAATAAAGTAGACATCAATCGAAGCCGTCAAGAGTCACAATCGGGGCCCACAATGTCTTCTCACATTAAATACTAGTATACTTTTTTATCTATTTTTTATTTGGCTCACTTGTAAAAAAAGGCATGTATATATATAGTGAGGAGAGAGGAGAAAGGGGGGGGGGGATTTTTTCACTATTCCTCCATCTTCTACAACACACAAAATGAAGAAAAATTTATCTTCATCTCCCCAAAAATTAATAAAAATCAAATTAATTCAACACCGATTATTCATAAAATAGGGGTGTATATTTTCGTTGATCAATCCGTTTATCAACAGATTGTTTGTTTGAATTGTAAGTTGAAAATTAGTATATTTATGATAAATATTAAAATTGAAATTAAATTACAAACTAAAGAAAAGTTGATAGTTTATACGCAATTTACACAAGTTCATGATTTTTTTGTTGACGCCTATTTGAAAAATGCCTAACAAGCACTAATTACTAATTAGCTGTTTTATACTACATTGGGCCTTTTGCCAAAATGAAACGAAAGACTACCAAGTATTGTAGACCACCGATTCTGGAGCTACTATATGGGCCTGATTTTAAACCCAAAAGCCCATTAATGACTTGAGCGTTCAAATTCCGGCCACACACTCGCCGCGATCTCTTTCTCCGTCGCCCTCTCTGACCGCGAAAATGGCGTCATCGATGGTGACAAAAACCCTAAAAACCCTCAACCGTTACGCCCTCACAGCTCTTACCTCCACTAACCGCCAGCTCAGCGTCTCCCCGGCCTCCCGAAAATCGGAAGACGACGCCGCATCCTGCACCTTCTCCTCCGGCGGGCACGACCGTTCGAAACATTCCGAGTACTGTAGTGGGGATGACAAAGTGTACATCAAGGGACGATGCCTGCGTCTTTCATGACCGGTTCGATCGTCGGAAAGCGGTTCAACCAGAAGGTGACGAATAGAGAAGCTGATGATGGTATTGGATGGAGCGTGATGTTCGCTTACAGGACGCTCAAAACGCCGTGGAAGCGAAATCTCAAGTGCCCTACTTTAGCTCTTGCCAAGGCTATTGCAGCTGAGTGGGAGTACCAGGTGCATTGCCGCTTGTACTTTATGATTTGATCCTAATTTATGTGCGTAGTTGTTAACTTTGGAAGTTGTAGCTCTTTCAGTTCGTTGTTTATTATGCGTCGATTTTCGTAGATTGACGCGTATTTGAAATTAAGGTGATGTTAATGTTTTTGGTGTCATAGGAATTATAGAATGTTCTACAGTTGAATTTGGGTCTGGCTTCAATGTGCACTGTATGATAGAATCTTTGTTCTTGTAGCAATCAGATGGAATAAGACCCTTTACAATGCCTCTGATGAAGCTCGCATGTACGGCATTGGAAAGAGTTCCGGTAACTAGGCCAAAGATAATCGAACATCTGATGAGAAAATTCCACCAAGATCTGATGTTTTGTTGTGCACCAAGGGACAATGATCTAAGAAAAGATCTCCGAGGTATGCAGAGTGCTTCTGTATGTTATATTTACTTCTATACTGCGTATTTTAAGAAATAATTGTATAATTTGAGAATTTTTGAATGCTTCTGTTTCTTATTCCGGGGACCCATATACTGTTGGCTTTTCTTTCGGTTGCCTTGAGAAATTTAAATATCTTTACTGAGGGAATTTGGAATTTATTGGCTTGAAGGAGGTTATCCTACTTACTTATGTATATATATGCATTTGCAACAATAATTTCAAGTGGAAAAATTTGGTCCTCTCATTGAATGGGTGGAATCAGAATCCGGGTTTAAGCCCGTTGTGTACACAAGTTTTTTCGGCGGGAAACAGGAGGAGGGTCTGGGTCGAAGCCGTTGAGAACGTTCTTAAGAAGACTGATGACTGTGAACTTGTTGCGATTGATGCCATTGCTTCAGCTGCTCACTCATTGAAGCAATTGGCATTTTTCGCGGTCAGTTGAGTATCCAGCTGGCAATTGATTTGACTTGGCTGGAGGAAGATTTACAGGTAGATCGATGGGGTTTGGTTGAAGGTGGTCACGATGTTGATATGCGGATCTTAGTGTCCAAATCTCATCCGCTGCTGTTTTTCTCGGACTTTCAAGGAAAAACTATCTTCTTTTGGCTCAATTTAGAGAGGTAATTGCCCGAGACTGAACTTTTCTCGTTCTTCCTTATGCAGAGTGAGATTTTTCATGCATTTGTAATGGGTGTCTTGCAATTGCTGTATTTTTTGTTTGTATGTTATTGTGCTTGGCAAGATTTTTCAAGATTATTCAAAAAAGTGAAACTTTTCCAGATGAGCGTAATATGGTTGGTACTGTATCTTTGAGTTTATTCTGTTTTCCCTTATTTACATACTGATTGTAAAATATGAATCACAACCCAACTTCATTGGGTGTTTGCTTGGGAAATTGATGTGAAAATTCATTTTCCAACTCGCACGTGCATGAACAGCATTCCATTTAATTTCTTTTCAAAGAATACTCATCCCAAAAAGTAAGCTACACAAATAAATTAAATGATAAAACTTCTATTTTTTTTCCTAATCAAAACAGTTAGGAAAAAAAAAACAGCTGAGAAACTATACTAGTCGATCCTCCTCCAGGTTGCATCACTTCAGGTTAAAAAATCCATTGGGATCAGACAATCCCAAATCGTCCGAATCACAAGACTGATTATTACAATGTATCAATCCAACATTCGATTTGACATCTTTGCAACTTTTAGATGATGATGCTTGCATATCAAGGGTCACCTTGGCAACACTGAGTGCAAACTGGTGGCTGTATTGTAATATCACAATAACAGCAAGCTATTTCGCAATTATTGTTACAACCTGCAGCAAGGGGACCAAATTACAAGTGTTTTGTGAAGTGAACAACAGCCCAGAATTTTCTGCTAGGTAAGCCTGCAAATTAAGAACCAATAAAAAGTATATATGTGTAGAATACTGAATATCCCGAGTTAAAAGTACCTGTTACGGTAATGTATCGAGTGCTGGAGACAGTAACTTGCGACTGAGGCACATTACAGATTGTAAGAATAATCAGACAAGCAACTGCTGACTTCATTTGCCTTATTAGGAACATGATGATATTGATGACGATGATGATTCTTTGTTTAGTTTTGTTCGTGTTATTATCAGATTTTGTGGAATGCTACTGGATTATGGGGATTTCTATTTATAGTAAGTACATTGTGCAAAGTGCAAACTGAATCTATTGTTAACAGGTCATACAAGAACCATGTTAGACATTAAGAATTTGGCAAGACTTGCTAACAAAATCATAAATGGAAATTAGAATTGGGTTCATACAAATGATACTGGTGTTGAGGGG